CCCTTGTGTAGCTTTGTGCATAATTAAAAACAAACAAACTTCCTGTATGTATCTAGAATTAATAGCTTCTGCATAAGAACTGGAGCTAACACGTGAAGTTATAGGATGCTTTCTTTTAATGAACATAATCTTGTTTTATCTTCATTCGTTTTTACTCTTATATTATGGCTGTTCAAAAATATAGTTTCCACTTTTATAGAATCTGGCTCAAAAATGAACTCGAGCATAACTCTTTCACTGCTACATTAATAGATAATCATCTCTCCCAGTGCTACGTTTATTTATTTATTTTTAGTTTAATTTTTTAGACACACGGAAACTCATGTGGAGTACAAGTACATATATTTCTTATAAGTTGTTATATCAACATGAAAGTTATTTAAGTATGAAAGTTCTTTAGAGATAATTGCCTGAAATACTACACCAGTGATTATGTTCTCACATTATAAGAAGTATTAAGTGAAATAATTATTCGTTTATTTATTTCCAGAATTTGAAGATTAATATGCAACATTTATGCTTTTTAATCACGTATAAAATGATTGATTTTGCTTCATATTCATTTCTCAAACTTTACTTTTATCTTATTTTTCAAGGCTAAAACAAAAATTATATATTATGTCACATGTATGTGCGGGCTGCGCGTAGCCTTGTGATTAGCCTACTGGATTATGAATTCGAAGGTCCATGGTTCGTATTCCGTTGCTGCAAAATCGCGTTGCGCACGTGCAGGCTGTAGATGCATTATAAGAGTGACAGTCAGACCCAACTATTATATTAGAAGAGCTCAAGAGTTTGTGTTAACTAACTGTCTTTCCTCGAATGCATCAGCTTAAAATTAGGTACGGCTAGTGCGAGTAGTTTTGCCCAGTTATCCGACACACACAAACAATATATTTGCCATGGCAGTTAGAAATAATCCAAATTATTTGAAACAACTTTTAAGAAAATGTTGCATATTTTCAAGCAAATTTCACCCCTCAAGAAACTTTACGTTAATCTTGAGTTTTATGAATGATTTATTTTATTTCCCCGAAAGGGGGCCGAATGTCGCCTGGAAAGGTCACCTGTTTTTAACCACTCCCACCACTGACAGTAGTGTGTTGTCTGTCAATCTGTCAGTAGACACTAAAATGACGTCACATAAGGGACACTTAACGTTGCAATTTGTAGTGTCGTGACGTCAGTAAAAGTACGCATGCCATGAATCACAAGAAGAATTATGCACTGTGTAGGCTACACCACAGCGTGACATATGAACTTTAAAAGCAAGAAATGAAAATATTTGTTACTCTCAATCTTAGTTTTATTTACTTGTGAAACCGAACACTTTCGGGAACCCTGCGAAAGTATATCTAGTATATTTTCACAACAATCCTCCATCCGAGTGTCAGTTCCTAATATAAAATGTTAATCTTATGAACTGTGTGACAAGCAATCACTTGAAGGAGATGCGCAGACACATTTGCAGATCGCGATCTGTAATGACAAGTTTAATAAAACAATAATTCAGCAGTTCATTGTATAGACAAGAAATGTGCGAGCTTTAAAAATTAAATAAAAATCAAAAGAATTCATAAAATATGTGCATGATTGTGTACAATAATCTGCATTCTTCTTTTCTGAAATAACTTGCAGAGCTTGCCGTTTGTTTACAGTTGAAAGTAAAGATTTGTTTGTTGTTTTTTTTCTAACTTTTATAAGTACCGTTATAAACATGGTTAGAGATGGCACTTTGCCATAATTTAGATTTTACCTGTACATTGCAAAACTTAGCAGAGACTTTGCTCTCAATTTACTGTATCTGCTTGTAATCTGTTTTATTAAAATCATGCACTGCTTCGAATGAATTGAAAAATGTTCTAAAATGATTTATTGTGCACATGTAAAATATAGGGTAAAGGGTTTTGCAAACAACTTACTTGCCAATTATGGCCATTGACTACTCCTTACTCTGAAAAAGAAATGTAAACGTAAGCCTCCACGGTGACTCAAAGAAAAGTCTGAGGGCTTATAAAGTTACAAGTGGAAAAAAATTAAAGAAATGGAAAGTGTAGGAATGGATGCACCAAAAACTGAGGAAACAAGGTGTAATAAATCTACCTCTGTACAACCTCACAAGGGGGCGTGCCCAACATCCTGTCCATGCCTACTTCGTTTATTTTTTTCTATCCTGTATACAATAAACCAGGTGGACTAAGGTTATTAAACTTAATTACAATGACTAGAGGTTTCTGTAAATCGACTTATTGGAGGCAGTACGTGTACTGTAAAATCTGTTTATACGGCACCAGAAGAATTCGATATCCATGTGGACCAATAACTTGTATGTTTATTTCTTTACAGCTTGTGTGTGTGTGTGTGTTATTTTTATAGCAAAGGTACATCAGGCTATCGGCTGTGTTCACTGAAGAGAATCGAATCCCTGATTCTAGCGTTGCAAATTCGAAGATTACCGCTGTTCCTCTTTACAACTTATCCCTCCTTTTGCAATTGCATAAGAAGGCAACAAGATTTCGTACGTTGACTATACAGGTGGATTAAAATACAAAGATAAAAAATCTTAAAAGGTTTTTGTGTATCGACGTCATGGATTCGTTACTGTCTATACAAAAGTAGAAAAATCATAGACACACGTTTTTACGTATTCATAAGTTGTATAATAGTATGAACACACACAGACAAAAACGAAGTAGGCCTGGACCGGATGCTAAACATGCACCCTTGTGAAGGTTGTAGAGGCAGTTTTATTACACCATGCCCATTCCTACCTTGTTTCCTCACTTTTTGGTGCACCCATTCCTACAATTTCAATTGTTTTAACATTTTTTCCACTTGTTCATGCACTTTTTTCATACAAGGTGACATGATTTTATATATCATTCATTCATTTGTGTTGATATCCTGTATGTATATAATAATATTATGGTATGTGCAAATAATGGTGTATGTGTGATGTGCCTTCTCTTAACTTATGGTGTATGTACACATTGTGAATATTCATGTGTGATGTGCCTTCTCTTAACTTATGGTGTATGTACACATTGTGAATATTCATGTGTGCTGTACATATGATGGCACACACACTCTGTAGTGTGCAGTGTCACTTGGGTGATGTAGTGTGAGTTGTGGTTGTCTGTATATACTAAGAGTTGATAAATTAGTTAATTAATTTAATTAACTACTTCACGCTAGCACTAGCACGTAGTCCCTGTACTGTTGTTCTATTTGGTGCACTTATAACCATGGTAAGTCTGTTTGTTACACAGCTAGAAGCGTTCAACAATGTCAGTCAGTCAGTGAGATTTAAAAAATTTTGGTTTGTGAATATTTTTTTGTATCTGCTCTGCTGACTTTCTCAAGTGATTCATATGACTTGTAATTTTGTAAGTGGTTTGTTTATCACCAGAAGGTGTTTCTCAAATACTTTTGAAGATTCATTATCTGGTTGTTAAAGGTGTATATGAGTAGATAGTTTGTATTGCATGTATTATGTATCCGCCCCGTTTCTACTATAAGTACTACAGTACTTATGATAAACCAGATTTCGATACCCGAGGTGGGCACAACCCAGATAGCCATTTGTGTAGCTTTGTACTTAATAACAACAAACTTTTTCTTTTTTCTGGAAATTCAGTCGTTTCTAATAACTACATTGTACCCACCACCAGGTGAAACTAAGCATTCTTGACAGGATCAATGAGAAGTAATTATTAAATGTGGATCAGATACAGTTTTGAATACAAATTTTATTAGGCTTGTTTTTAACAAGCTTGACGTTGAACGTTGTTCATACGAAAAATAAGCAGAGGAAAATTTCTATGACTGCATTTGTAGGAGACGGGAGAATGATTATCACTATGCACAGCAATTAAGGCATTACAAAAAACAAACAGACCCTCATTTGCACAGATTTGACAGCAGATAAAAAAAACAACACTTTCTCCAATAAATTATTAGCATTCTGAAAGGAATAAATAAATAAAAAAATCATGTGGTCTAAATTTTGGTCCGCCTGTGGGACAGTGGTAAGCTCAAGGACTTAAATGGTTAAAATCCGGCGTTCTATTCCCCACGGTGGACATAGCATATAGCCCAATGTGACTTTGCTTTAAAAACAACAACAACCTGCCTAACATTTATGATAAAAATCACACTTACTGAAAATGTTTTTCAACATACTTCCTTTTAATTTTCGTTACGGATTTAAAATCAGAGGTTTATAAAAATAGCATTTCAGCTCGATCTTTTGTTTATTGGTTTTTAATTCTTCCCGGCTTTCGGCGTTTAAATCGTAAAATAAAAATGACATACTTGGCAGTGGTGTAGGAAGGAGTTGCAAAGTGGGGGTGCTTGGTTAGACATGTAGATTTTACAATGAGAGATTGAAAGTATAAGGGGCTGATAAAACCAGCTCCCGTGCTGCCAAACACAGCTTAATCTAAGGGGTCTGGAAGCATGCCCCCCATAGAAAATCAATATAATGATATAACTTACACTCGCTATATAAGTAAAATATGTAAAAGTAGCACCCCCAGCACTTCCGGTTCCTGACGCCACTGCTTAGTGTCGATACAGTGCGACATCTAGATTTTTTCACTGAAAGTTTTTGTTTATAAAATAAAATATTTTGTATAATTAAAATCCCATAAAAGTGAAGTCTAACAGTAAAAGAAAAATTTCGTGCGAGATTAGTAAAACGATATTTAAGGTGGATAAATGTTCATTTTTTAGATATTTTTTAAGTTCTTCCAGATAATCTCTAAAGGTTTTACATTGTATAAATATGAAGTACAAGTAAATGCAGAACCATCCTTTACTTCGTGCTCCAAGACGCCTGTTGTCGAATCGATTACTTTTACACTTTCACGTTGTTGCTCAGCGAGTCCCGTTTGTTTTTCGTGCGCACGCGTCATATTGATCCTCGTTGCAGCTGCGCAGTCATGAGTGTTTATTATGTTAACGGCAAGAAAGTAAGTACATCTCTGGATCCCCTTAAGTTTGAGAGAATTTATATAACCGTCACGTTGCATTATGATTGTAATATAATTTCGTTTCTTTATTCCGAGGGAGTGATTTAGAGTTTTAAAAAATGATTTTGTTAAGTTGCTCTTTCATAAGTTACTAATAGAGAGAGAGAAAAACGAATTATCGACCAAAGAGGTTTTTTATCGTTTGGAGGTTATAAACTAAAAGTAAATCTTGCTTGTTTTTAAACAGCCATCTCGCTAGTTTTCAGAAACGTGGTAGTGAAACGTTTGTGCCATTTAATAAACAATAATTAAAACAAAGAGAAAAAGAGGATCGGTCTCATGCAGATAAATATTTTGTCTTCTTACTCGATGTCACTACAAGAGATGCTCTCTGGCAATAAAGAATTTCAACACGACTCCTCACCGAGTTTGTAGAGCATTAGATCCCGCTCATTTTTGGTAGACCACGTCCTCGTGACCCGTTTACCAGCTGATCTTGTTTTTACGGTTATAGTAACAGCGATGTTAGGTGTTCTACGAAGACACTGGAAACCTAAACGGTAAGTTAACCGTATTTATCATGTAGTATGGACTAGTAGGTTGAATTTTTTATCAAATTAATCAAAGTACGTATTTGTTTTCCTTTTAGTAACTGCTGCGTTAATTGTGCTGACAGCGTTAGAAAAAGTTATAAACGCCACTACCATATGTACAAGAGGCAACCCACAGTCTCCTCGAATATTTCCCCCCCCCCAAAAAAAAAGCTTGCCCTATGTTGCTTGAGAAGTGTGTTTTTGTCAGTGAGACTCTGCCCTTTGAATGCACTATACACATTATTGGTTATGTGTATAAAACTTAATAAATTATTTCAAAAGGTATAAGTATATATAAATGTGTATCTTGACAGTGTTGAATATTTAGTCTAATCCAATATCAAGGCTTCAGAAAATGGCACAGCAAATGTTTAAGGCCTACCTAGCATTGCAGATATTAGGATGAAAATGTATTGTTGTAACAGTTTCTGTTATTAAGCGTTTTTTTTTTATTTGATTATTGGACAAAAAAGAATGTTGGAAAATCCAGTCCACCAAACGGTAACAAACTTATTTCTTTTATCTTCAGAATTCCACAGTTAGCGTAATCAGCGTTCTATGATAAGCCTAGTTTTGTAAGTAAACTACAACTAAACAGCAATTCCACTTAATAGCTAATTAGAAATCTAGTCCTTTGTCGAAACATAAATTTAATATTCACAGCACTGAACTAACTAACAGGCTGGCAGTAACAAAACAGATTAAATCACGCACTGATCACTCATTACCAGAATAAGAAACTCAATCATCGAATTTAGCCTAACTTGCTTTATATAAAAATGGCCTAAATTGTTTCATAAATTTCAATAACTTATGAAGGTTGTAGTATCAAAGCCACGGCCATCACGTTACGTTAAACTTCTCCTTCCAGCTAAACAATACTACAGTTTTCGATAAACGTCTGCATTAAAAACGTAGACTAAAACAGTATTTTACTGCATATGTTTGAAGTCCTATTCTCTTGTTTGATTTGGAATCAAAGGTTTGTGAAGACAACATTTAAGAACTATCATTTGTATACCACACGCTTCTACGCGAGAGATCCATTTTACAATATCAAATCTCATCAACTAAGCAAGACCCATGGCATCCAAATATATCGGAGTACATATAAGACAAGAAAATGATTGCGATTTAAACTTGCTTCTGAATGAAGGTTTCATCGTATCTGTTATGCTTTAACAGCTTTCTTATTTCGCTAGCTAAGGCATTATATATCATAACTTACTAGGATGGTCAGAAGATACTTCAGCAAACTGCACCAAATGGTAGAAAACAAGTACAACAAATTACTGCCTATTACAATAAAAGTGTTGTGTGAAACGAAAGGCGTCCCGTGTAAAGAAAGCTGTGAATATCGAAGTTAATGGTCACACTTTTACCTTCACTTAAAGAACTAATTTAAGTTGTATTTTATTATACAGCCGCAACTAATATTTTGAATAAGGTGTTTAAGTGAAACTGTGTTGTATATGGATATATATTAAATCCTCAAGTAATTTTCAAAATTAGGGTTATGCAACAAGTTTTGAATATTGAATCATGAATTGAAACATCTTACTTGTGGAAAATATACTGGTACACTTACAGAAAGTTTCAAGTAACATAAAAAAACGTGAGATTTAAAATAGTAAAATAAATAAGTAGCAGTACTATGTTTACGTTTGTTTGTTAGTTTATGAATTTCGCGAAAAGCTACTTGAGGGCTATCTGCGCTAGCCGTCCCTAATTTTCAAATGATAGAAAAGAGGGAAGGCATTTAGTCAACATCACCCACCGCTAGCTGTTGGGCTACTCTTTTACTAACGAATAATGCGATTGACCGTTACATTATAAGGTCCACACGACTGAAAGGGTGAGCACGTTTGGTGATGGGATTCGAACCCGCAACCCACAGATTGCTAGTCGAGTGCCCTAACTATCAGGCCTATGTTTTAAGCAGAAACGTGCAAGCAATAAAGATCTGCTTAGCCCTTATACAAAACAGTTGCGTCATTATGGTTGTGTTGTGATCCTGTGTCATACATATGAAGCCAGTGGCATCATCATTCTGGTGTGGTCATGTGATCAGGAAATTATTGATGTTTTGCTTACTTCTGAGTCAATCTTTTGACGTTGAAATTTATTTATGTGTTTACCGGGGACGTTTTTCGCACGAGTTAAGAAATCCAAATTTTGCACGAGAAAGTATAACAGAAGATTTTTTCAATAGATTATTAATGGCATTGTTTGGTGTGTGACGATGCTATGTGTTTCGGCTTGGTTGAGTGTGTCATATGGCTAAGATGTGTTAAGTTAAAAATACAGAATGCATAACTATAGCTAGAGGTGGTAGTGCTTGCGTGAACCAGAGCCATATGATGTTAGATATATCTTGTTTACTTCGTTGTTTACGAAACCAGACCTTTGTTACTGTTCGAAAGATTTAGTCGGATTTGGCCCTGAACTCGATTTTTTAAATCTCGCAGTAAAGAGCCATATATTTTAAATTTTGGTGTTCACTTAATTAAGTTTAAATGCTAAATCACTGGACACTGGTCCAACTACCATACTTTCTATTCTTTTCATGCATGTTCCACAGACCGGAAATCGGGTTCAAGGTTCAAAAGTCAAGAGGAGAATTTTCAAATGCAAGTAGTTAATCTCGTGATGTATGTAGCTATTGAGTAGTCTCGTGATTTGTTTAACTGCTAAGTAGGCTCGTGATATATGTAGCTGTTAGATGAAATGACCTAAGTAAAAAAAAAATCACCGAAATGTGCTTAATGCATTAGAAGTTTATATTGTTCAACAGATAAACAAAGATTAAACAGAAAAGGAACATGCAATAAGTATTAAAATCTTAACCACTAAAAAAGTAAGAAATGTTTCGGAATATCAAAGGAGATTTCTACACGTCGAATGCAACGACAAATAACTTTATAGGATATCATGATAACAACAGATAAATATGCTAACTCAGGTCCATATAAGTTATCAAGATAGCAACCGATAGCAGCGCACAAGTTTACTAACACGGCTGCACAGCAACAGATAGTAACACATAAATCTGTTAACTATATAGATGGATATACCAGCTGTACAGAAAAATCTATTTTTAAATCAAGAGACCGACGTAACCTAGTCGTCTCACTTGTTTACCTTCACAGATTTAGCATAAAATCTGTTTTATTTTACAATCTGGGAAACACAACCGGCACTTGTAACTTTTGAAACGTGACTTACATTTATTTTGAAATGTGTATAAATAACTTGGAAAAAGTTTTTTCGTTACGTCATTATCGCATTTCCCCCATTCTAGAATTAGAATGTTTGTACTGTCAAAATTACTATTGGAGGTTGGTTGCGATATTTGTAAAATATTAGCATTTTTATGATGACTGAAAATTTAATAGTTAATTTTCAGAAAATAACATAATTCCACTAAAGATCTGTAAAGAATTTTTTAGGATGGTTTTCATACTTGTCCCAGACGTTTCTACATTTCTGCTACCTACATAAAAACACGAGCTCGGAGTAGCTTTTTAAGTTCTTGTATGCACGTGCTGTAGTCTGTATTTTAGCATAAATGGTGAAACATCAGTGACAAGGTAGGGGAACTTGCTCGTGGTGAGCCCTTCTCTCGTATCCGGATTTTGTCATTTTATTTTTACTAATTATTTTTGAATGGTGTCCCATTCATATATGTTAATGTGGGCATGTATGTATGCATGTGTGTGTATATATTGTAGGTGAAGAAAATTTACAATAATATTCAAGTAATAGCGGTTAAGAAGCAATATAACTACAGTAGGTAGATATATTTACTAAGTTTAAAGTATTTTACTCGCATCCTTTTGTCTAAAAGTTTTTAAGACATAAAATTAAAGATAGTATTTAGAAAGCAGGATAAAATATTGTTTTAAGCTAGATTTTTAATTTTGTAATTTGTTTGTTAGAGGGAGATGCGTGCGGGTCGTAATGATGACGTTCAATTCGAAAGTTTAATAGTGTACACCCAGAAAGTTCTAAATATTTTGACGTCAGATTTTTCTAGTGAATTTGAGGGTAGGTTATAAATACGAGCTTCAGTGAAGCTTGGAGAAGATTGAAAATAGTTAAGAAGACTAGTTGTTTCTAGTTGGTAGAGTGAATCAGTCAGTGCATTCTTAGTGAGGTATTCGAATTTGTGTTAGTTATTTTGTAGAAGTCGATTTTTATTTTAGTCTAGCGCAGTTAGTGTCATTTGTAAAAGTGGCCTGAAAGTTACCACAGTGTTCAAGCTTGTAAAAAGTTAAGGAAGAAATATACAAATTTGTAACCATTTATGGACTGAATTTTGAATTATTTTCGCCAGGTGATTTAGAAGAACCCGCCAACGAACGAACAATGGTACAACAATATTATTATTTGTTAATGTTAACAGAGTTAAACACTCCCCATCCATCCAACACGTCTTAACAATGTGATAAAAGAAAGACAGAGATGATAGTACCGAAACAAGAAATCGCAAAGCAAAATGTATTAAGGACCCTTAATGACGACAGACCATCTGCAAACGATGTGCAGTTTGTGAGAAGTAGAAACTGCAAAAGTTATACATGCAGTATTTAGGAGAGTTTCGTACAGCTTGTGTAATACTAAACTGTTATGACCTAAACGTGTGATTGACGGCTATCACTAAGATATAAGTGACATCATTGAGAATATTGAATATAATTAGCCGCGACCCGCAAAACATTTGCAGTAGTTTTCATACACTTCGTTTGAATTTTCTTTATTCAATCATTTTCACGCACATCATTTAAGCTAAGCTTTCTTGCGGGCATTGTGTGTTAGATCGACAAATCTTTGTCTATTTGAAAACTTTTACCAGTCAGACACACAAGCTCACGTAGACATAACTATATTTAATAAAACTACACGTGAAGTAAACAATAAGGAATAGTAATGGTATTTATAATAGTATACAGAGTATGAAACAGTTA